CATGTCTACATGCCTAAATGCACTGAGTTGCCGCCATGTGATTGGCTGATTAGAAATTAAGTGTTAACGAGCAGTTGGACAGGTGAACCTAATAAAGTGGCCGGTGAGTGTATATATATACACACACACACATGTCTGCATTATCTGTGACTGGCTCAGGCCCTGCTGATGCTGATTGACATTCAGTGTCTGAAGGTAGAAGGAAAGCTGTTTATAGTTGGTAAAATGAACAGCTGTTTTCTTTGTATGGTGCTGTATAAGGGTCAAAATTAAGACTACTGCACAACCAGCAGTTGCTACATCCTTGTAGCAGGAGGTTATATCAATTCCTAAGCCAGTTATTGATCTGATTAATGACAGGCCGGCAACGATAACTGAGAGGCCGGCACTGGCAAATATTCATTTGCATTAGCATCAGAGAGGCTAGCAGCCTGCCTAGGCTCCTTATTTGCCAGCGCCAGCTGCTGAGTTACTGATGCCGGCCTATCATTAATCAGATCAATAGCTGACTTAGTAATAATATAGCCTCCTGCTACAAGGATGTAGCAACCACTGGTTGTGCAATAGCTTTWATTTTGGYCCTCATACCACACCATATCTTCATCCCTTCAGCAAAATGGCAGTGACAGATGAAGCCTCTGCTGGTACCTGCACATTTTACCTCACAGGTTTTCATTTATTGTTCCTCAGAAGAAACAAGAGTGATCATTTCCTTTACATTGCAACAGTGGAATCTGTAGCACAGCTTCAAGACATTTTACAAAAGTAAACATCATTTCACTTGGTAAACTTTAAAGATGACCAGATTGTTGAACTGTATGAAAAAAAAAGATGAACATTTCACAATTTTGCAGCTACATTTTTAAACAAATCTGTCATTAACAGAGTTACAAAGCTGCTGCTGCAGCTGCTGTTGGCTCCTAATGAAGGKGAATGAACTTCATTTCCTCCTCGGTGTCCAGTTAATCACTCATCAGTTCTTCAGTTCACCTCTGTGCAAGAAAATAGGATTTCACTCGAGTCTGAGGATCAGAGAGGACGCTTGAATGGTGAAAGGTGATGAGGCTGAACACAAATCTGTTACATCAAGTCACCCAGTAATCCCTGTTGCATGTTGCTTCTAGAGATTACAGAGAAGTGTTTGTCTTTTGCTGAGCATTAGASAGTGAAAACAAACACACACAAAAACAAACGAGTGCTACAAAAGATTAGGATGCTTCAGCAGGGGTGTTGTCCCCTCGGTCTCCGTACTTTAATTTTCTCTTGTCACTTTGAGTTTCTATCAGAATACTGCAATAAAAACACACAAACTTTTGAAGGATATATGATATATGATATATATGCAATGTGAGCAGATGTAAGTAATGAACTGCACAAAATATACAGAGTCAGCACAAGATATAGAAGCTAATAAAACATTGAAAAATCCTCTTTGGAAAAGTTTCACAGATTAAAAAAACTTAACTAAAACGATTTCAATTAACTATTACTTGCTTCTAAAACTTCATTACTGTAATGAGAAAAATGGATTGAAATGTTTTTTGGTTAGAAAAAATGAGAGACTGTAGTGTAAGTGACATGTAGAAGTAGCCAAATACATATTTTTTATGAAATATTTTGAAGTATTTAATGAAATATTTTGAAGTATTTAACAATTGGTACAGAAAAACCTCCAAAATTAAACAAGAATTTGACAACATTTTAACATCATATTGTATGTACAACGCCACTTAATTCATTTGATATATTTACTGTGCTCTGTTGTGGTCGTACATTATAATTTAATTAGGTAATCACCAGAAGTATTAGCATAAAAAGCTAAACTAAATAAAAGAATGAAATGTATGTTAAGGCTAAATTCTACAACTAATTTTAAAATATTATTTTACCCCAATAAAWCCACATTTCAAAGTTTAAAATGATATATGAATACAAAAATCTAGCATTACAATATGCACCAGACTAAAACCAAAATGTAATTTTAAACTGATTCATGTGAAACTGCAGAGGAAATGTATTCACAGTTCTTAAAGATATTCGAGAGGATGGGAGGAATAATGGGATTTGTGTCAGAGAGAGAAGAGAGCGTGAGGGACTCTACTGATGAGACATGAAGCTGAAGTGGTGGCAGCTAAACAAGGTGGTGCGTCAGGGGTATTGATGAAAAGTGCATTGCAGTGTTTTCATGTCATTAACTTTAACATGTAGCTGTGCTTCTCTGATGGAAGACGTTTGCCAGAAAAGCTACCAAGAAGGAAACGAAAAACACGTCATCCTGATCAAATACACTGAGACATCTGTAGAGACCTGGTTTACAAAAGATCTGAAAAAAAAAAACAACTTGTGAAGCTTTACACAGTGGAAATTATTCTTGTGAAGAACGGACCCAATTATGTTAAGAYTCTAAGCTGTTGCTTTTCCTCTCCTTTGCTTTCCAGTCAGGAAAGAGAGCAGCTTTATGCGAAGTCTTTGGACACTGCCTCGATGAAATTGGGAGCTGACATGAGTATGGTGAAGGTGCAGATGATGGAGAACAACGAGAACGCCACCAAGCACAACCGATCCACGACGGCCGCCGCGAACTTCCACTCGCTGCAGATTTCCTCGCCTTCGTCCTGGTCCCGGAAGCGCCTCGCTATGTACTGCACTTCCTCCAGGATGCGTGAAATTTCGGGAATCTGTTCCACCAACAAAGTCCGCGTTTGGTCCGAGTGGATGTCGGGCTGCGAGGAGCTGCTGTGGTGGTTCCCTCCTCCTCCTCCGCCGCCGCCACCGCCRCYGCTGCTGCCGCTGCTGCCGGACATCATCAGTCCTGAATCAGTGCTCGGTGGGAAAGCAGGGTTATCTGTGCCCATCGCGTGGTAGCCGAAGTAAAGGTTCATGTTGCCGTTTGTTGTAGTGGACTGAGTGGAGGCCTGCCCCGGAATGGTGCTCATCTGGATACTGCTGGTGCTGGTGTGGTGAGGGGGGGAGTGGGAGTATTTGTAAGTCTGAGGGTTAGCCGAGTTCACAGCTGTTTTGCCTTCTTCTCCGGGTTTCTTCATGCGAAGGAACCAAGCACACCAGTTGAGCAGGAAGACTCTGACCTGGTTGAGCAGAACACAGATGGCACATGCAAAGCTAAAAAAAAGCTTTTTTAAATGCTCAAAACGTGAACAGAATTGGGGTCAGTAGCCAAAATTATGTTATTTTAGTTTTTGTTTTATAATTTACCGTAGTATCATTTTTAATTATTTTAGTTTTATAGCATTTGAGAAGAAGAAATAGGAATTTTTAACAAAAAATATATTCACTGATTCAAGTCAAACTGTCAGCTAAAAAACAGAACTACTTCTAAACCGCTTTAGATATTATCTGAGCTTATCCAACAGAAAATTGTAATTCAAGACCAGTTATTCTAAGTCGTTGAAAAATGATAATTTTACTAAAATAAGCTTCAAAAGTGTAATCTTCTCCTTGTCTTTGAAAACACTGTACATTCTTTCAAATGACATAAAAATGAAATTMTTTTCTTCTGTTTCTTCTGTATCAACCTACCCATTTAGGCATCTTCCCTCCTCGAGGATCRTGGTGATGAAACTGAAGAACCAGGACAGTTACCACCACAGACAAGCCCACAATCATCATGGTGCTGGCAAAGTACTGAGCTGAGGAGGGAAAGACACATTCATGTATCACAGATTGTACAAAGAACAACAAAATCCAAAAAAGAAGAAAAAAAAAACAAGTTTTTTATACTTGGAATTCACACCTGATAGTCCGGTAGACTCAATTTGATTAGGGACCAAAATTTGAAGATTTGTTTACATTTTCATTTGGTGTGGTTTGTATGCATACTGCACTTTGTCAAGGGAACTAAACTCTGTGAACTACCTGTTACCCCTCCCCCCCCACCTGTGGGGGCACTGCACCAAGAACCACTGAAGGAACCAACACAAAAACCTCTGAAGAAGAAGACATGGAGCACAACTTCCTTCTTCACAAAATGTAAACAARCATGGAGTGATGTCAGATTTTAGCGGATTTAGGATTCACTTTTTGTTTTTGGCAAATGTGTCAAACAAACACGCTTCCACAATGAGCTCAGTGTGAGAGGAGGATGAGGCAGAACCACGGAGAATATTGTTTTTCTACACAAGGCTGATGAGTCGGTTCCATATGAGGCAGCGTTCACTGCGTAGGAGCACATCCAACTCCACAGCCATGATGTCCACCTTATGCAGACGTCCAGCAAGGTATTTATAAGATATGAGTAACTTTATTACTATTATCACTCAGAATGTCCTGCATTATAGTCCTGTCTGCTTGGCGTTCACACATGCATTCAAACCACACCAGAGGTCATTTTAACCGAATCAGAATATGATTATGCATTCACACCTCCCCAAATGAATCAGACATCGTAGAGTTTGATTAAAATGGACTAAACAGGGTGTGAATGCACCATTAAACTTTACATATGTTAAATGCGTAACCTTTGAACTAATCAACTCTTCAAACAACAATGGGACAATGGCATTTCATTTTTATTATTTCTAATTTGGAACTTGGTTTCAAGTAAAATACTGCTCATGATGTCTGAATGGACACAAGACTGAAACAAAATAACAATGTAAAATGCTCCCATGCAGACAGGGCCCAGTCATTTGTTCTGGAGAGAAGTTTATCCTTGTCAACAAGTCTAAGGTCAAAACAGTCCAAGGGGCTGATGGGAGGGTGACTAACTTGTCTCCTAATCTACAATCAGACCAAAACAAACCGTGACACTTGGATCCAGTGGAAGCTGCAGACACATGAAAATGCACGTTATGCATTTTGTGAAGTGCAGTTTCCTGTCCACATGCATTAGAAGCAGCTGTTACCTCACAGTAAACGTGACCAATCAAAACATGCAGCATGCCTGCTGAAGTGTAACTGGAAGCTGCATGAGAACCTGTTCAATTTAGTCTATCTGTTCTGCRTTGTCTGCAGTGCGTTGGAACATCCAGCCTCATGAAGAAAGTGTTGCTAATGGCCTTGTTTTACATCACTGAGCTGCCAGTTGATGCAGAGCAGCGTTTCTGTCTTCTGCCTAGCCGCTCATGTCTTTGCCTGCTGCCCTGTCTTTTCCTGTTTGGATCAGTGCAGACTCACACAAAGCAGCACCATGTTTGCCTCCTGCACCGAGTGCAATCTTCACATGCTGATTTAGCAATCAAAGGCCCAACCCCAAACGTCCAACACCTCACCCCCAGTCACAACACATTAGTCACTGGGTGTGTAGAAAGTGTTGTGTTACAGTCAGCACTGTGGTCTGAGGCCTATCTCTCTCTTTTGGCTCCTAGCCTATCGTGACTAGCCTGGTAAGAAAAAAGATTTCCATACCACTCTCCCACACTGTGACAATGTGAACCTTATAGCTCCCTACAGGCAGTTAAATTAGAGTATAAAATGTAAAGCAAAACATTATCTTTTGTGAAACAAATGCTGCCATTAACCTGCAAAATCTTCTCCGTATGAAGTAACTAGTGTTATATAAAGTACCACAAAGTGATACTTGAGTAAAAGTACAAGTGTCTTACCAAAAAAGTACTATGGTAAAAGTTAAAGTCTCCTTTAGGAATATTAATTGAGTAAAAGTCTTAAAGTATCTGATATTTTTTGTACTTTAGTATTAAAAGTAATAGTATTGATTTAAAATGAGCAGTTAGATTTTATGTAAGGACATTTATTAGCAAGTGACCTCTGCAAAAAAATGCAGGAAGGACTATATTGCATTAAAATAATTAAACTTAAGATGCACTAGTCTAGCTGTTTCAGTTTATATACATATATCAAGGCTGCACTAATCTTTACTCCAAAATTAAAATCTGGGCTGCAGACCAAATGCAGTAATATAATTCCTGAAATACAAATACTTCTTAAGTCCAGTCCTTTTATTTTAATTAGTATGTCCTGCTGGAGTGTGACATGATTTGTTTGTGTACAAACTAATATGGTATCAGAATTTTATATATCTATTAGGGGTGCAACGATACAAAAAATTCACGAGTCGATTCGGTTCAATACTTTTTCGATATGAAAAGGAGAAATGTCCATGCCCTTTTTAACTTGTAATTTATTGAAATTAATTATGGACATTTGTTTAACCTCAAAAGTACAGTTTTTAAATAAAATGTTGCTGAAACAGAAAGTTTCTCAGTGGATCTGTGCTCGACAATTCAGCCTAGGTGGAGTAGTCGAACACAGATCCACTGATCCTTCAACACAAAAGCAACGTCAGAAGACAAGTTGATTAAATTTTAAAATTCTGTATTGTTCGATACAAGTGTGTATTGAACCTAAAGCACTGAACTGAACGGTTCAGTATGGGTACATGTATTGTTGCACCCCTAATATCTATACTTGTCATTCAAACACAATTAAATTCACTCTATCTAGGAGGCACAATTTTTTACAACAAGCTGCAATGAAAACAAGCAAAAATGAAATAAAAGTAACAACTTTCTACTTCTTCTATTAAAAAAAATAAGGAGCAGAAGTAAAAAGTAGGCTGAAGTAGAATTACTCAAGTAAAGTACTGATACCCCAAAATTCTACTTAAATGCAGTTAAGTATTTGTACTTGGTTGCTTTACAACTCTGGAAGTAACTTATTTTAATCTGCAGCAGAAGAAACCAGTTTACATTTTTTTGGGGACCACCACGAATACAAATGAATTATTTTCTCCCTATTTGTGCACTGCAAAAAATGTCCATCTTACCAATTTTTAAAATCTGATATTCAGCCAAAAGGTMTTTTTGTTCTTGGTTTGAGACTGATTTACTAAACAAGAACTGATTGTGTAAGAATAATCATCTTGTTTTCAGAATGTRTAAGATTATTTGTCTTGTTAGTCTGAAAATTTGACTCAAGTTAAGTCAAAAATTTCTGCCAGTGGAGTAAGAAAAATTTACTTGGTAAGATTCTTAAAATACTTGATTTGACTCAGTTTTTTTCTTATTTCAAGAATCTTAACAGGTAAAAATTTCTTACTACATTGGCAGAAAGTTTTGACTTAATTCGAGTTTAATTTTCAGACTAACAAGACAAATAATCTTACACATTCTGAAAACAAGATGATTATTCTTACACAATCAGCTCTTGTTTAGTAAATCAGTCTCAAAGCAAGATCAAAAAGACTTTTTGGCTGGATATAATATTTTAAAACTTTGTAAGATTGACAGTTTTTGCAGTGTGTTTATTTCTAACTCCACAGTAATTATAGAAGAATAATGTCCTACCAATCAGAGGAACAGAGTCTGAAGTGGCAGGCATGATCTCTGCTACCAGCAGCATGAACACTGTCAGAGAGAGCAGCACCGTTATGCCTGAAGAACAACAACAACAAAAAGTTAGCAYTCGTCTACTTTGTGACTTGAAAGAACTCAAAATAAATGCAGGTTTTGACTTAAAGGCAGATAAATAACGGCATGTATTTATTGTGAAGTGTTCCTTTTTATTACTATAACCTTGTCTCTTTCTCACCGACAGTCGTTTTGAAACAAGCTGGTATTTTCAAGCCCAGGTGATTATCTTCTGACGTGTTTATGTTGGCATTTTTATACATCTGCAAATGATTAGTACCCAACATAAATGCTAATCCACAGCTGTAATGTCAGCATTAGCATAAAGCAGTGACAAAAAAAATGGTTTGGTGATAGCGCTGGGACCTGAACTCCCTGGGAGAAAGATATATTTTCTGTCATATTTATGCTAATATTCATGAATCCTTGTCTTTTTGTGTGAGTGTGAGATTATTTTTATGTGTTCTGGGGGGGGGGGGGGTGTTGAAGTGTGTCTTCTATTGTACCCAGTGAGATCTTCTCTCCAGAGTCAGCGGGGAGCAGGAACACCAGCATGGCTAGGCCAGAGATGAGCACGCAGGGGATGAGCAGGTTGAGGCCGTAGTACAGAGTCCTGCGGCGCATGGTGACTGTGAACGTCACGTCTGGGTACGGCTCCTTGCAGCACTCGTAGTACAGCTCGTTGCGCTTTCCTGGAACCCCTGAGGAACAAATGAAGGTGATTGGGACAAGGTTGATCAAATTCCTAAGAAGGAACCAAATTTGGTTGGGTTAAAAWAAAYTAAAAATAAAAAATAGGTGAGGGATACTCTTTTGTCTAACAAAGTGTCTACAGAAGACACAGATGGACAACCAGAAAACAGTATGCCTCCTCCAGAGTGGAGGCATAAAAATGTACTCTCTGTAATCAGAAGATTACAGAGTTGATATCCTGATGAAAAAAGTTAACCTAAGCAAGAGCTGAGTCTTCATCTCTGTACAAACTTCAGCTTGTTCATTATGTGAGGGACACTGCAGGGCTGCCCATTGTCTGCTATCCTGTTTGTGGCACTTGTGGACAAGATCCCAATCACAAGGCACAGTCAKAAGAACATCTCTGACTTTTGCAGATGGAATGTGTGCGTTAGTGTGTGTGTGTTTCCAGAGTGTTGATTTCAATCAAGAGAACCAGACAAAGCTACAAGTGGTCCACTCTGAAATGGCAACAAAATCAATCAAAGTTGTGCCTATTAATCACTAGCAGAGCCATGTGCATGTGTGTGCATGTGTGTGCATGTGTGTGCATGTATGTGTGTATGTGCATGTGTGAGACGTGTGTGTGCATAATAAAGGTGGAGGAACTTTCATGCTCCATTATTAACAATCAGCTGTGACCAAAAATCAGGCTGAGTGTCTCTGATTAGTTCATACATTAACTGACTGCCCAGCCATAATCAGCCATTTGTAATTTATTGTTAAATTGTTTGATAATTCTGAGTGTGAACCTGTGTATGACCAGGGGCACACTGGCATACAAGTCTACCAGGAGTTTTCCCGGTGGGATTGTGGGCCRATGTGCTGTAGGTGGTTCGGCCCATAGAAGTGTTGCTGCAGTTGGCTCTGCAGTCAATGTAGAGTTTGCTTGTTCTGCGGCACCACAATGCCTCTATRAAGGCTGRGCTTTTATAGTCGCRCCTTGGGTAGTTGCAAGTGCGCACCCTGGCCAGCGGTGAAAGTGTTTATTTTTGGGTGTTTACGTTGTTGTAGATTTCTCCAAAAGGACATGCGGCAGTACAACTTGTGAAATGTTGTAAATAGGAGAGCAAAAGTGTGATGAACAAACAAACTGCTTCAATAATGCGCAGTACGCTCAGCCTTTGTGGAGCGCCTCCAGCAGTTGATCTGCTCAGAGCGCAGCCGGCTGTGGAGTGGACCACATATACAGTAACTCCTTGTTTGTCTCTCAGATCCAACAGAGAGCTGTGCGGTGCTGTGGCTGCAGGTGATCAGCTCCTGTCAATCAACAGGGGTGCAACAAGTGAGGGTGGCCAGGAGGGGCTATGCCCCCCCACCCCGCCCCACCCTCAAAGATTTGCTGGCCCCGCCAGATTTACCTTTGGTTTTTGCTCATTTTAATTCCACCTAGCTATTTAGGATTAATAAATCCTATTTTTTCCTTTATCCTTGTTTAATATACGTATAATCCTTTATATATATATTTTTTTTCAAAAACAACAGTTAAAACATACAAAAAATCTATTTAAAAATATAATCTTAAAATATTCCTTCTAAATAAAAAAGCCAGTATAAAACAAATGTTCTCAACTTGAGTAAGTATGTTCTCACGAGGTTAGAGGCATCATTTTTCTATAGCATATGTAGCCATAGAAGAAGAAAAAAAGTACAACTGGTCTTTTGCCCAGAAACTGTAGGAAAGCTTTGTCAATTCAACATGTTTGGTGTAGTGTGGTGTTCTAAACTTTGTAAACTTTTATGAAGATTTATAAAGCTTAGAACTCAGAATAGAAGTCTGGTTGTTTGTTTTAAACTTATTTTTTATCACAAGGAGAACTGAGAATCTTCACCAAGCTTATAAATATAAAATTTGGCAGCCCTGTTGTTGGAGCTGTTGTTTCTCAGCTAAATGGTTGCTGGATCAAATCCCAGCCTGGGACCTTTCTGGGTGGTGTTTACATGTTCTCCCTCTGCATGAATGGTTTTTTTTTCCCTCTGGTACTCCAGTTTCCTCTCACAGACCAAAAATGCTATTTGCTTCAGTGGCACACACTGTAGGTCTCAAACAAATGCTTGCTTTGTAAATGTAATTAYTTTGAACAAAATCATGTTCAAGTCTGCATATCTTGAATGGCCAGTCTGTTGGGAACTCCCGGGCCACTTTTTCTCCCCAGTCCACCCCTGGGWATGACAAAATCAGCAGCATAATCAAAATCCACAACTCATTTAGGTGTGTGCCACCAAAAGGTTTGATCTTCCTAAAGAAATTGAATTTAAATAAATTGAATGGATCCAATTTCATCCCATTTAAACTTTGTCACCTGGATGCTGGAGTGAAATAGTCCTTGTTAGCCACCTGTTATTATGATGGATTGCAGAYTTGCAGAGTGTGTGTGTGCTTTGACATTGGTGTGGTTTGTTTGTGGTTGGCCAGCTTACCTCCTGACTGTCCTGAATGAAGTGAAGCATCTCTGAGCCAGCTGTCACCTCACACAACCCTTCTCCCCACCTCCTCACACTCCAGGTGCAATCACTTTGTGTGTCGGTATGTTTGTRTCTTTGGGTTCAACTTATTCTGCTGGTTTTAGACTAGCACAGATTGTGAACAAGATTATATTTATTTACCGTTATTTATCCAGGCAAATAGAGTGCAGATCTCTTTTTCAAGGGCGGCCAGGACCTGAAAGCAACCTTTTGTGTTGCGGGGGAAACCGGAGTACCTCCATCTGTGATAAGTTAATGTTAGTGCTGGGGATGACTTTCACCTAAAACCACATGAAAGTTTTAATCTTACCTACAAGGTCCCACTCTCCRTTGGGTATGTAGGTCGAGATGTCGACCTCCAACATTTGGAGGTCCAGTAACCAGCCATTGTGGGTCCAGGAGCCAAACTTCAAGTCGCACTTCTGCACATCAAAAGGGAACCACCGCACGTCGATGTAGCACGTACTCTTCAGGATACCTGGAGGGAGGTGTCATGAAAGCCCGTTTTAAACTGGAAATTAAATTTTTTAGTATAATTATTTTCTAACTTGCCATCAAGAATGATTTTAAAATGTTCTTTGGACACTAAATGAAAATATAGGGAGCAGGAAATGATAGAATATTGGCACAAACATTGCAGATGTCAGAAAAAAACCCCACCTTAATCATTGTGCTTTACTATAAAATGCAACATTGCATTAGTGTTTTAAACCAATGCAGTATGACACTATCAAATATTTTAACAAAAAGTATTTAACATCAAAACAGATGCTGGAAATATCTTAGAAAACTGACCTGGCGGGAGGTACTGACAGAACCCGGAAGAATTCACCAGGACATTTGTATGAAACGTAGCATCAAACCTCTCATCGGCACTGCACAGAGAGATAAAAGAGCTTGATGTTAAACCAGTAATGAAACATTTAAACAGCAAGGGAAATAAATAAAAGATTGAAATTTAAAAAATGAAGTTTAGAGTCCTGAAAAGGAGGGGGGGGGGGGGGGAAAAAAAAAAACAAAAGCTAGACTAAAACGATGAAGAGAGCTGCAAGGAAAAACCTGTACAGTCAAAACTAAAAATATGTAGGTGACACAAAGAGAAGACGCAGACAGAGCAGGTTTCATTTGACTGATTATTTTAAAACAAACATGGCGGTTGCAGAAGAGACTAAAAGAGTTCACACACAGGCTCGATAAAAATGTCACAGCATGTCTACAAGAACAAAAAGACACCAAACAGGTTGATAATTAATTTTTGGGCTAAAATATCCTTTTTTAAATTTACGGCAGCTGAATAAAGCCAAATATGTCCTAAAAAAGACTTTAAATGGGTGCAAACAATTATTGTATTTGCTAAATTAGACTCAAATTACCTTATAAATGAGAACAGATTGAAAAACAATCTTGTGTCTGTTTTGGAAAAAGGTCATAATTATGAGAATTCAGCATCTTAGGAACCAAAGCATGATAATTATCTATTTTAATTAATATAAGTTTTAAAAATATAGATTATAAAAAGTAGAAACATGGTTATTTTCCCTTTATATCAAACTGTAAGAATGATGTAAATCTCTTAGTCCTTCTCTGTCATTATCAGGTAACATTATTTTGACTGGAGGCCACTTATAATTTTTGCTCAATAATAAGAGCAAACACACAGACAACAAAACACACAAATAATCCTGTTGAAATAAAGTAAGAGACTGATAAAATATGACCTTAATTATGGAAAATAACATTTTAGCTGCACATTTAGTTTGCTGTTTTTGGCCCATAAAAGAAGAGAATGAGGTAGAGTGGAGAGTGAATGTGCCTCGTTTTAAACAATGAATGAATGCTTATCCGAAGCCAGGCTGTAGCTTGACTCCAGCTGTCATCTGTTACTGTCTGTTAATATATTTCTTTAACTTACTATACGAGACTGGAGACAGAGGGGGGAAATGTGAGGAGTATGCGTAAATATTCCTGAAGGCTTTTCACTCGACATGTGGAATATAAATTTTGGTAAAAGCACACTGGTGTCTTTTAGCAGGACATGGATTTATTTACCTGATATCTATTCATAGCTTCTAAATCAATCATTTAAACCTAATATTATTTATTTTTACTTGCCAACATGAGAAAAAAAAACAAAGAAACTAAAAACATACTGGGAAATGCCACAATAATCTTAATTGATTACTTAGAACAAACAAGGGACACTTTAAATACATTACCCTCAAGAGTTTATAAGAAGTTCATTGATTTTATAACAGGACCAATGTAAAACCGATTCTGAGAACTTTAATAATTTCATGGTGACAGACTTGTGATTTGATCAGAGGTGTAATATCCTTGGGGGGTATGTCCCCGACAATAATTTGATCCAGTCAATATGTCTGCTTTTGTCACATTATGGTTGTATTTTGTTGTATGTTTTCCTAACCAAATTGTATTGCACCAGGTAAATACATACTCTTGGAAAATTGATAAATGCAGGTATGTCGTATAATGCATCCTAAAAATGTAAAATATATGTTACCGTTGGGGGAAGGGGGTGTGTGGAGTACATTTTTTCTTAATTGTTGAACTGATGTGGAACAAAAAAGCTGCACAGTAAATACAAAGAAAACAGGAACATTAAGTAAATCACAGTAAAAGCATTAACATGCATTTTAACCCCACAATATCATTTTACAAAAGTAAACGAATATGTATTTATGTATTTATAATATATTTATGCATAAATACATAAATAGGCAGAGCGCACAACACCCCTCCTCCCACCCCCCACGGTAGTCCTAATATTGTATCCTTGGATTTCATTTCCACAAAACAACAGTTGTGGAGGTAATCAGCAGTAAATGTGTAAATGTACCTCTACAGATTAGTTTCTGAGGATTTTATTAAAATCCATGATTCATGAAATGTTTTGGTAACAAACAGGAACAATCACCTTTGTCCTTTCAGCAGTCAGAGAGAAACAGTGATTCATTCCAGACCAGACCTCCAATAAAAGATACATTTGATTCACATAGACTGGGTTTTTTATTTATAATGGGATTTAGAGAAAAAAAAATAAAAAAACATGTTTTATTATTCAGTTAGATGAATATGACTGATTTTGTTTTACTGCATAAAAGAAACAGGTTTTGTGGAATACGTGAGCAGGATCTCTTTGCAGMTGTTTGTCACTTTTATACAAACTTTAAATGACTTTCCCTGATGATAAACACTTTTATGCATGGGGCAGTTGCATCCAGTTTACTCTAAAACACACAGCATGCTATTATAATAAATGTGAATTAAGKTTTAGATTTAGACATCTGCCTAAATAAGTGACGAGTCTGGGAGAGCATTTTGACTCAAGAGAAATCCCAAAAGGTTCTGTTTTCTTTGGACTGAGTAAATGGGTTTGAGTTTTCTGCAGATGAGAGCATGAAGGACAATTTCCTGAGCATTTAGAGACAGAAGTAAAAGATCTTGGAGATTTGGAATAAGACCTTGATGAAAGCTTGAAATCCTGATKAAATGATTTTACCTCTAAAGAAATTCTCCATCTATTGAAAATCCTCTTATTTTATGTGACCTGTTGAATAATGAAAAAAAAAAACATAAAAATATGTCATGCCAGTCATTGGCATAGCAATAAATGTTTCCTAATGGATAATCCCAAAGGAGAAACAGAGAAAATTATAGATGGAAAGGAAATATTCTGCTGAACCAACAGACAAACTGCATTTAAATTTTATACATTGGGCAACACACTTCTTTAGAAATTTATAGCAAAGAAAGCTTTCAACCTTATTCCCACATCAGCACACATAGGAGGATGACATTTTAATAAGAGCAATGCGTTTGGGTAATTTTGTTTTCCACGGGGACCCCCCCCCNAGCTTAGCATGATCGTCTGTTGACCTTCAACACACACACACACACACACACACACACACACACACACACACACACACACACACACACACACCCAGAACCAACCTTCATCCCAGAAATCACATTTTGAGTGTGTGCTTGTTGACGGGCTGACATTTGCACACACATACAGAGTAGTGTCATCCCTTCATGGACCTTTGAGAGATGGAGCCATTCACAGWGAGTTTGCTGCAAGTTTTAATGTTTGAGGGAGTTCTTGAGAGCAAAAAAGGCAACRTTTTTCTTTTTTTTAACTTTCAGAAGGACATTCTTGCTGTGTTTATTACTTCTGTGTCAGTGGAGCTTCTGGCAAGAAATATTTACTGAATCTGAGCCGCATAAAAAGATACTCWTTGCAAAGTATGAAATCAAATATAAGAAGGTTATCCTGAACTTTATGGCACACCATAACATTCCACTTTATTYATAAAGCACTTAAAAAGCTACAAGGACAACCAAAGTGCTGCACAATAAAAACTTGTTGTATGAAATGATGCAGTTAGAAAGAGTTCACTCCAGTTTTCTGGTTACAGTGATATGGAAGTGTGAAGCGTGAGTCTGCACTCAGTGTAAGCAGAATTATTGAGCACTGCTCAAACCACATGGAAACTTGAGCCACATGATYGACCTACATTAGGCTGGCAGCAGATTTGGATGGTGCAGAGAATAAAAGTGAAGACATATAAGGGGAAATACGAGAGTGCATCAGCTGCAGAAGAATAGRGAAAAAAGGAGGTAGATGACAGTCAGGGACATTTAGGGGGGATCAAGCAGGGTGGTGGGGAATCATAAAGACAGCTCTTGAAACAGCAAACTAGAGGAACTTTTGCAGCAACTTAGCTTGAAAAAAAAAAAAAAAACAACTAAATACTGCAACCTGACACAAAGCTTTGGAAATTTTAAAGTGCTATAATGTCACGCTGAACTTCACAGTCTCTAATCTTTCCACTAATTGGGTTTTACGTCTAATATCTGAACAATTTTGGCTATCTCTGTGTTAGCTGAGGAAACAGACCATGCTTCATCTGATGAAAGATACACACTCTCTGCATTGCTGACGAAACATCTGAGCTTATCTCTGTCCAAAGGTGCTGCTGCAAGATCAAACGATTTGGCGTGAAGTCCTCAGACACGTTTCTCCTCCGTGCCCCAAAATAGAAGATCAAATCTACAAACTGCTGCAAGATCCTCTGCTCCACACAGGCAGAAACAGAAAGTCTACAGTCTTGATTTTTCACAATAAAAGCACCTTGGGTCAGAGGCTTGGCACCTTTAGGTTACCATCTACCTCTGTTTGCAGAAAGCCAACAGTCCTGAGCAAACTTAAAAAGTTACAGGTGAGAACTTAGAGGTGCATCTTCATCCTCACCACCGTCATCACCAATGAGTAACAAAATAAAGGCCTTACCATCTCTGGATTTATAGTTTGGATTTAGGATTTTTTTTACACACAAAAGCAAGAATAAAACAAAGACAAGTATGTCTACCAAAAATAAGACTGTATTGAGCTGAGGCATGCCAAAAGCCATGGGGTCTAAATGTTTTGTCTTTTTTTTTCATATGTGCCACAGTTCAAATGGCATCCAGCAGAGGAACAACTGTCAAAAATAATCATGCACATAAAAAATACGGGAGCTCTTGGCTTGTTTCCACTCCTCCACTGAAACACTCAGATTTGTTCTGCAAGAGCCGAATGTGAAAATGTAAGAATCTGTAACGTCTTCCACGTCTCGCTGGGATTTTTCACAGGTCTTACATATTTTCCATCTCTTGTAAACAGGACAAATTTTCACACTTACAATATCATTTTTTTTGTATATTTATCATGTGTTTCATGCACCAATTTACAGTATTGCTAGCACTGCAAATGAATCTCCAGCAGGGAATTTTCTACYATGAATGGATGTGTTGGTAGGGAAAGTTCTGACTAAATTGGTCTAAAAAAGCTGGTATTTTAYATCTTAAAAATATTTTTTGACCCATCTCCTTGGAGAGGCATTCGTGCTCACAGATATGTAAAATCAAGAAGCTCACTGGGTTGGAGAGTTGTTGGTGACTACAAATTGTGACAAAAGGTAATTTTTCAGTTGCAGTTTTTCTGAGAGTTTGTGACCAGGTGAGATGCAAGCTGTGTGAGAAACCAGTTTTCAGAAACCATGGCTAAGGTGGGAACATGTTATATAACAAGACTTATATCTGATTAAATAAGCATCCATGTTGGATCCAAACCCTCTTCCTTTACCTCATTGCATTCCTTTTATGTGTGCTCATGTTTGGCAGAGGCCATGACCTCATTTCCCAAAGGAAGATCATTAAATCTTCCATCTCGTAGATTTATCTCCTCCTCTCTTCCTTGCTTCCTTATTACATTTAAAAACCAAAAATGTATTTTCTCAGGGTTTAATCTAAAAGCACAAAGAACATCAGATTTAATCTGTGTCAACTGTTGCCTTCACTGTTTGTGATTGTTGATCCCCCACCGTAAGCAGCTTAATGTTCTGCGTCATCTCAGTTAGACCCAAAACTTGTGCTTTTCTGCATCACTTTTCTTCTTCTTTTCAGAACTAGAACCAACAGATTTTTTATCATAAGATAATTTAGAATCAAGTTAACAAAGATAAAACACATTTTAATAAATTTATGTCTTTTGTGGTGATTTTTGCATTACAAATGCAGCTTTTGAATGGGTAATTTTAAAGCAGGACACGGTGTTCATTGGAGACTTACTAAAGATTGATTAAATAGATACCCTCTTTGTTACCATTACCCCTGGTACTTTTTACAGTCAGCAACTCAATAAAAAGATGGTTTTGTCACAGATCAACAGACAAATGCAATTTCAGAATCTCCTAAGTGATATTCCCTTTCACATTACCATGSTTAATGTTAAATAAAATAAAAGGAAGCTGAACTGTTCAAGCTCATTATTTGATGTGACAGCCAAGGAACAAATACAGTAGTTTCACTTCAAAAACCTGATAAGAACTGGCTGCAGCTGTTTGATTTTATTTCCTTTGCACTTGATCAAATCTGTAAATAGTCTTTAACATATAATATAAACTGACAGCAGCCCACCTGTGGACCCTGTTGAACACAGAGCCTTGTAGATTCAGGGATGTCAGATTTAAGGTGGTGTCAGAATGGCTGTGCAGCCCCTTTTTGATTGACACATCATTTGACCAGCTGGGCTCTCTCCAAYGCTAATAATATCCACTGATAATACATTTCCCTGCAAGGTGACCAAAAGCTTAATTTCTTTTCCCCTCTCTGACAATCCTTTGGGGCAACAATTCCCTCATCTGTGCCAGATAAAAAATCAGAGCACACCAGGGGTCACAGCTGTTTTGCAAAAGGGACATTTGTTTACGTGGACAACTGTGCACAAACACTATGGCAATCTAAAAAAACTGTTTTCAGGGACAAGATTGCTGCCATAAAAAAGAGGTTGAAACACAATGAAATCTTGAACACAATCCATGTTTGTTGGCAGTCATGGCAGGTCAGAATGCTTCTTATTTCAGCATTGATGAAGAGCACTTTGTGAAAATCCCAGAAACACCTGCAGAGAAATAACAGGCCTTCATCCAATCAGGCTGAAAACAGGTTTTGTTTGCTGAGGCTGGAGTGAGCAGTGAGACACAGTTAGAGGAAATATATAACCTAAATTTGAAAATAAATCTAAAACAAAAATTAAATTTGTTTACCAAAGCTTTAAAGAAATGTTGTAAATCTTGGAGGTACTGAGTTTTAAACAATGCTCCTATTTTTTTTCCACAGTTACAGACTTTTTATTGTCCTTGTTTTAAAATTGTAAATAAATCATCAAACTTTGCTCCAGCATACGATAACAAGTTTCTGTTTTATTGTTTGGTCTAGAAAAACTAGGAAAATGTGAGACACTTTTTTCTAAATATACGCTGATTTATTAAATAAAACAAAAATAAATTTAAGTTATAAATGATACTTAAATGTGTATGTTGTCTCCACACTAAAATGTTGTGCCTTTATCCTTAATATAACGTTATGCATCATTAAATTTCCATGGTCCAACATGAGTTTAACCTAAATTCAGGACTAGAATAAAAAAGCATAAAAACCTGCAGGGGTAAGAAGACCATAAAACCACCCAAACCCCCCAAACTAAATATGTAGAGAGCAGCAAAAACATCAGGAACTGAGAGAAATGACCTGCACAAAGGACACAGAGGAGAATACATAATGAGAAAAATAATTTAAACGCAGAACACGTTTAGTAATCAGGACACTAAACCCAGGTGTGAAAGCAGAAGATGAAGCTAAGTTAAACAGAATACATAAAAATGCATCAAATCAAGCAGGAAATAATCAAATTAAGCCCCAAACTGGAACTTGGTTTTAAAGCAAACACTGAAATACACACATAATAATAAATAAAAATATTAACTGTGAGAACAAAAATATAAAAAATCAAACAAACATATCCATAAAAAAACAAAATAAAATCTGAAATTGTCATTTTGAAGTTTTGAAGCATAAACTTTTAAATCTCATATTTCCCTTGATGTTATTCAGATTTATACTGTAAGTTATGCAAACTTGTACACGTGTAGATTTAATAAAATAAAATTCTTAAACTACCTAGTCCCCAGTGAGTGTGCTGATGTTGGTTTATAACATCTGTTTTGTTTTCCATCAGGCAGTTTATGAGACAACTAGACAGGAGGCAGCAACACGTACCTGTTGTACAGGAGGATATCTGGGACCCAAACCAGATTGGATGGGAAACGAAGGTTCTGAACTCCGGGGTACTTCTCCGGGTTCCATGTCAAGTAAATATCTGTCCAGTACTGAAGCAAATAATGCAAAACAGAGAGATCAACCAGAAACATAAAAATGAAGACATTCTTATTTAAACTCTTAGCTCTGAATAGCATACAGTAGATAGCAGCATAGTAGGTCACAGCTTGAACAGATGCATTAATTTGTGCATCAAACCATAGAATGTTACCGGCAGACCAAATATAACTCTTTTTTAAAAAGAGGAATAAATCTTAAACCATCAGAAGTCAAAGATTGTCCCATTACACAGGCTATTAGCTCCTGGCTGTTGCACTTTGGCTGCAGCTCTCATAATAAATGTTGGCACTGAAACTTTGCCAAGACAGCATTTGTTGGCACTAACCCCCTGCTCTCCCATTTGGGTCTGAGCCCATTCACTGAGGGGCAAACTCTGTCTAGCATGAAAGCATTGAAAAACCCAACATATCCATGACATTTGCATTGTTTTGAATTGTATGTTGTTAATTTGTGATCTGAAGTTGATTGGTATTTGAACGTGTTACTTTATGTCTTTTTTATGAACGTGTGTAAAGTACTGTATATAAGTTCACAGATGGAAGTGGGTGTCTGATGAGCTATTTGGAGCAAGCACTGTCCCATTACTAATACACTGTAGCTATAGTGCACTCTGCTCATCTCCTTCTCTGTTACACATGTCTACATGTCTGTGTTCATGCATGCAAAATCTGTCTTATTCATTTGAAAAGCTTTGCCTCTGAGACACTTGTGTGTGTGTGTGTGTGTGTGTTTGTGTACATGCATAATTCTTTAGGCTGTTTTAGTCTGTGCAACCACGCCTCAGTCTATATGAGTAATTTATCAATTAAAAACAAATCATCTTGTCTTCAAAGAGGTTTCGTGCGAGTCTGCTGACATACGTCTGCACTGATGCGACTAATGACTTATTCACTGCACTTGTCATCGTTGGGGTCTTGGCAGTTTGGTGCTTCTTTTCATGTTTGTTGGCTACAAGAGCACAACTAGCAGCCAACACAACAAAGTGCAGCCCGTTAACTTCACACTCCATCAGAAATAGATGAAGACACCAGTCCTTCTAGGGTAACAGCTGTCTAAGAACAGATTTGTTGTTACGTAACGTGCATTTTTGAACGTATCACTAATTTGTGACACAGTTCTTGCAAAGATGGTGTGAAATAGGCTCACAGAAGAGAAGATTGAGGACAGTTCGTTTTAGCCTAAACAATACAGATGTAACAAATTACAGAGCCAACAGTAGCAACAGCTGAAATAGTTGCAATAATTCAACATTTTGCACTGATTGTTTTTTGTTGTTTGGAACGATGTGTACATTTCTCCTTTATTGATTATTTTATTTTATTTTTTCCTACATCAAAGCAGAACGGTCAGAATATAAATTCTGTGCAAGCAGGCGAGCTGCTTTTCTTTCTTTTCTTTCCTTTCTATTTATTTATTTATGTTTTTGGTTACACAGCTGTGCAAACCTTGCTATAAAATGTTTTCTGTTAGGATATGATTTTTTTGTTAGAAATTTTTATTTTATTTTATTTTAGTTTATTTTATTTTATTGTCATGTG